GGGGGGGGCGCTCCTCCTCCGCGGGCCGGATAAGTGCCCTTGGCGGACCGGAAGTGGCCCGCGGGCCGTAGTTTGGGGACCCTGATTTAGTCAATTGTCACTGAGCTTGTTAAAAGAGCTTCCTGTAGTGATTGTCCAGTATCTTTTAAAGGTTGATTAAGTGCAGTGATACTCCAATATGTGAGATGGCTTAATGGAAGCTTGGTGACTATCTGAAATGCTTGGGACTGGAAGAATTCATATTTGTATGTGTGTATGTATATATGTGTGTGTGTATATATATATATATATAGAGAGAGAGAGAAGGGGGAGGGTCCCAGAAAAGGCACCCAAGTCTAAATACAAAAGTCATTTTTGCATTATATACACCCCATACACATAGCCTGATGGTAACAATTTTTTAAATAATAATGTCACCATCTGTTTTGGACTCTGGAGATGACTAAGTGGTTATTGAAATGGAGGAGGAACAGGTGAAAGATGATATGGTCAAGTGGGCACAACATTTTGGCAAACACATACAAATGGAACAATGGGAAAGGTTCTGGATAAAGAGTTTGTAATTTACGCTGAGTAAATATATATATTTGTAAAATGATGTATAGATGGTATGTGACACCCGAAAGGATTGCTAAAATGTATAAAATAGTTCTAGCGATGGTTGGAAATGTTGGGGAATGTCCTGTACTTTTTAATCGTATGTAGTGGTCATGTAAAAAGACCCAGACATGCTGGGCACAAATCCATACTATTTTAGAAGAAATAGTTAAAGTGATATTTGAAATGAAACCTGAACTCTTATCTGCTTGGGATGAATAACTCGATGCTAAGTGTGGAAGGTTATTGCTATACATATTGAGGCATTGAATTTTGCCATTTATTATGTTGTAAACTGCTTTGAGTGTGCNGTTGTGGAATCAAGCTTTCACCACGAGGGGACGACGACGTCTAATCCAATGACAGAGCTTTGAGGCTGAGCAGTCATGTGAAATTGTATACCTAGGCCGTATCCGGCCCCCGGGCCTTAGTTTGAGGGCCCCTGATGTAAGTGTTACTTCTCCTAGAAACAATTCAACAAATCTTCTCTAGTTGGAATGACCAACTCATTGGCTCTATTAAGCTTCACAACAAAGGAACCACTTTCTTCCCCATTTCATGGTGAGAAAGCCTACTCACCTCTCCATCCTGGAAATGCTTCTTGAGTTGCTTCAGCATGAGACTGAGTTTTTTGGATTGCACTCCACTGTACGCCAGCAACATGCTGCCAAATTGACGCTCTGTGATCCGCCCATTCACGGGATCGTGCCTTTCAAACTAGAAAAGAAAAAAAAAAGAACGATATCTAAATGCATGCATTCATTTAAATGCAGAAGACCACTAACAGTTTTATTTTATTTTTTTTAAATTAAAAAGCACATACAACATCAACATAACTATAAATTAATTTGTGGTAATCATAAAAGAGCTGGCATATTTTATCTTCCCCCTTCATTTTGTTCTATTCTCTTTGAAACTCTGTGGCCATAATCTTGATTTATCACTTCTACCTGGAATTAATGCCAGATCATCTATAAGATTTTTGATGTATTTTAAAAAGTAAGTCTTACGTGAATGTTCTCCAAATGTTCAACATTTAAAGGGCGACAATAAATTTAAAATGAGTACTGAGATAATAGGTCTAGATTCAGAATAGTAGTTTTGTGTTTTGGACTACAACTCTAGGGTTTGAATCCCCTCATGGCCATGGAAGCCCACTGGCCAACTTTGGGCAAGTCATACTTTCTCACGCTGAAGGGAAGACAAAGCAAACTCCTTATGAACAAATCTTGCCAATGAAACTCCATGATAGCATTGTCTTAGAGTTGTTTCCAATTTTATTCCCCAAAGATGCTAAAAGTCCTTCTTACTTCTAAAATGTGTAAGAAACTTTGATTGAGGGATTAAAGAGAAACAAATGCCTTGAGGTGCCTTCTCCCTGAAGAAACCTTCCATAATTTTTGATATAAACTTGGTGAAATGGTTTCGATACCATTGCTATAAGCTCTCAATTTTCTTCTTATGCACACCAATTCCCTTCTTCTACTTCTTAGTCCATGGTATCATTGTTCTGTCGCACGCTGGGCCTTTAAAGAATTGTCTTTAAATTAGGACGTGCAACTTGAGTCAAGCGGGAAGCCAGGGCCTCCCGAAGAGAAGCTCTCAGGGATTTTCCACCACAAATGGTCTTTAGATGGCTTGTGAAGTATAGCAAAGTCCTTTATTAATGAACAATCAAACAGAAACTTTTCTTGTCTTCAATAAAGTTAAACCAATGCTTCCAGGCTTTTATGCAACTGGTGGCTTCTTAATCTTGTCCACGAAGGACAGGCAAATGTCTTCAATAACTGTTCCTTGACTTTAAGGGAAAATCCCTTTTTAACTTCTCCCAGGCTGACTGTAATCTAAGTCTTACTGATGTGGGCTCCGCTACCGGGTCGAACTGCATTTCGAGCACCGAGTGGACCTACCAGTAAGGCCAGTAGATTATCCAGCTGGAGTTCTTTGGTCTTCCAAACTGTTTACCCTCCGAAATTCCTCAAAGCTTTAGGGCTATTTCCCTGGAAATCTTTGGAGATCATTGGATGCTCTTAAGACTGTTCTCCCCTGGAAAGTCTTAAGGGTTGAAACTTTTGTACAGGGGAAGCTTGTACACGCCCTGTACATTAGATTTCCTTGCTGAGACTAACTAAAAATGGCTCCCTTCCCTTCCCAAGGGGCGGAACCAAAACTTAACTATGATGGACAGGTGACTTGCCCTACGACTGCAACCAAAGGAAGCTACCTGTCAGCAGAATCTCTGAAACCTTGGACTGCAAGCAAACATTTAATACAAAGCAAATGAAGTTGGAGCTCCTGGTACAGCCGTACCAGCACAATCATTGTTCACTGAGATCTATGATCCATACATAGTATAGTTACTATAAACTACTGTTTCTTAAACTGTGGGTCCTCACCCCAAATGGGGTCGATTTAGCTCAATGTTGGGGTAACAAAATTGGTAACAGTAAATCATTTCTGAATGTCACCTAGTGGTTTCTTTATATAGTGTCAGAAGCAACTTGAGAAACTGCAAGTCGCTTCTGGTGTGAGAGAATTGGTTGTCTGCAAGGACGTTGGCCAGGGATGCCCAAATGTGTTACCATCCTGTGGGAGGCTTCTCTCATGACCCCACATGGGAAGCTGGAGCTGACAGATGGGAGCTTACCTCGTTTCGCTGATTTGAACCACCAACCTTCAGGTCAGCGGTTCTGCTTGGAGCCCCCGGTGGCGCAGTGGGTTAAAGCCCTGTGCCGGCAGGATTGAAGACCAACAGGTCACAGGTTCGAATCTGGGGAGAGGCGGATGAGCTCCCTCTATCAGCTCCAGCTCCTCATGCGGGGACATGAGAGAAGCCTCCCACAAGCCTCCCGCAAGGATGATAAAAACATCAAATCATCCAGGCATCCCCTGGGCAACGTCCTTGCAGACGGCCAATTCTCTTACACCAGGAGTCACTCCTGACATGACAAAAAAAAAATATCTATATGCTCCGACCGAAAGGAGTTGTGAGTCAAAAAGTTTAAGAAGAAAATAAAGAACAGTTTATTTCCAAATCTTAAAACCATTTTTATTTTCATTTATTTCACTGAAATGTTTAGAATCTGCATTATATAAAAACGGACTAGGCCCATTTAAAACAATCTGAAACAATAAAAGATGATTTAGAGGTAGTAAAAACATGCTGGGCAAGTTAAACAAAACCATTTGCTGTATTACTTATTTTATAATATATTAAAGTATTTACCATATATCTCACCCTATAGTTGACAATCTCTATACACAATAAAATCAATAAAGAGCAGTTTAAAAGAATTTTAAAAGAGTAAAAACGTATTAAAAACCATGTAACGCTTGAAGATAATTTAAGATGAGTTTAAACATGTTAAAATAATAATGCTGCTAAAGTCCTTTGTATAAAGTATTTCATCTTGGCTTACAGGACTTGGAAGATAAAACTCCTGTCTTTGTAGAGAGCGGGGTGGAGGAAAAATGATAACATTCTTATCTGCAAAAGCTCTTTGCTATCAGGGGATGGAGATAAGTGAGCCCTGGACTCAAAGGCACTCTTGCCTCACTCTCTCAGGGTAGAAGTCCACACTCCAGTTCAATAGCATTTTCACTTTTACTCAAGAGGTTCACAACATAAATACCCATAATGAAAGGAGAATACAAAAATCACTTTGGGATAAATCGCAGATACAGCGGAAGTGGTATTGTGCCCAGTCACATATTGCCTCTTATCTGGAAAAAGCAAAGTATGATAAAAGACATTTTTCTAAACATCTATGCATTTATTAAATCAGATTCAAACTTTGGAGAAATTCATACATTCAGGATTCTTTACTTACTATCATGCAATCGTGGATAATAGTTTAAATATTTGAAAAGGTATATTATTTCTAGTAGGAAAGCCTATTCTTTTGTCGTTTTTTTTTTGGGGGGGGGGGGGATTTAGGCGATCTCTCATTGTCCAAGTAGGACAGTCTTTCAAGATCAGTGTACTGGTGGGTCCGTAGGTGACTGTGGAGCCCTATTCTTGATCTGCATCTTCTCCCACAGTGGTTTCCAGGTGGAAGGTCCTTCCTGGAGGGTCGATCCCAGATGGTGAAGCTGGGAGACACCTGCTCGGACCTCTGGCCTTTGACCTGTGGGGTCTCGCAAGGTTCCATTCTGTCTCCCATGCTTTTTAACATCTACATGAAACCGCTGGGTGAGGTCATCCGGAGTTTTGGAGTTGGGTGCCATCTCTACGCAGATGACACGCAACTCTACTACTCTTTTCCACCTAACTCCAAGGAAGCTCCTTGGGTGCTGGAGGAGTGTCTGGCCACTGTGGCTGTCTGGATGAAGAGGAACAAGCTGAAGATCAATCCCGACAAGACAGAGGTCCTCCTGGTCGATCGTAAACTGGATCGGGGTATAGAGTGGCAACCTGTGTTGGACGGGGTTGCACTCCCACTGAAGTCACAGGTCCTCCTGGACTCATCACGTACGCTTGAGGCTCAGGCGTCGGCGGTTTGTTGACCAAAAGTTCGGCGGTTTATTATTATTATTATTATTAACTTTATTTGTACCCCGCGAGCATCTCCCGAAGGACTCGATGCGGCTTACACAGGCCGAAGCCACAAACACAATATAAGAAAACATAACATAGCAATAACAAAGCAAATCAACAGTTAAGCAAAACAGCAATAACAATACATCAAGACATATTAAAACTGGTTCGGCCGGCGTAAAGGGGTACAGGGTTAAAAGTGCTGAGATGGCAGGAGGGGCGTAGGGAATTAAAAGTGTGGTGTGCAGCGATGTTAATTGTACTAAAGTGCTACTAGGACTTGGGATGGGGATTCCTAATCCGAGAAGGCACAACGGAACAACCAAGTTTTCAAATTCCTTCTGAAAACTGCTAATGTAGGGGCCTGTCGGAGATCTTTTGGAAGGGCGTTCCAGAGTCGGGGGGCCACCACGGAGAAGGCCCTATCCCGTGTCCCCACCAAGCGCGCTTGTGACGTAGGTGGGATCACGAGTAGGGCCTCCCCAGATGATCGAAGCGAGCGTGTGGGTTCGTAGATGGAGATGCGGTCACGCAGGTAGGGTGGTCCCAAACCGTTTAGGGCTTTGTAGGTGAGCACCTGCACCTTGAATTGGGCTCGGAAAATAGGCAGCCAGTGGAGCTCCTTAAACAGGAGGGTTGACCTCTCTCTGTAATGAGCCCCAGTTAGCATCCTGGCTGCTGCCCGTTGGACCAGTTGGAATTTCCGAGCCGTTTTCAAGGGCAGCCCCACGTAGAGCGCATTGCAGTAATCCATTCTAGAGGTGACCAAGGCGTGGACCACCCCGGCCAGATCAGCCTTCACGAGGTATGGTCGCAGTTGGCGCACAAGTCTCAGTTGCGCAAAGGCCCTCCCGGATACCGCCGACACCTGAGCCTCAAGTGTGAGCGAAGAATCCAAGAGGACACCCAAACTGCGGACCTGTGGCTTTAGGGGGAGTGTAACCCCGTCCAACACAGGTAACCACCCTATACCCCGATCTGGTTTACGATCGACCAGGAGGACCTCTGTCTTGTCGGGATTGATCTTCAGCTTGTTCTTCCTCATCCAGATCGACACAGCGGCCAGGCACTCGTCTAGCACCCGAGAAGCCTCCTTGGAATTAGGTGGAAAAGAGTAGTAGAGTTGTGTGTCATCCGCGTAGAGATGGCACCCAACTCCAAAACTCCGGATGACCTCTCC